GTGGGTCCCCTGCCCCCCACAGAGCGCAGCCCCCCAACACAGCTCACAGACTGCCCCCCCCAACAAGGGCCACATGGCCCCTGCAGGGGCTACCACCCCCACGAAGGGTGCACATGCCCCACCCCCACTTGCTTGCCCAGCCCCCCAGATTGTTGCCCTGCCTGGCCCCACTCCCTGACACCACCATTGGCTGCTCCACCCGGCCCCATTCCCTGCTTGCACCTCCAGACCCTCCGCAGTCACTGGCAGTAGCAGCAGCAGCAGCAGCTGTGGGCGTCATTGAGGCCTCCTGGCTGGTAAATGGGGGGCAGGGACTGAAGGAATGGGGAGAGGACCATGGGGCAACCCCCGCCAGCCCCAGGCCCTGCCTGCCCCCCGCCCCTCCAGTCACCTACCCATCTGGCCCCAGCATCCCAGCAATAAAAAAAGCCCCACATTTACTTGCAGTAGCACCTGCCGTCGGGGTCACTGGGGCCTCCTGGCAGAGCCCCCCTGCATAGCATGGGGCAGTGGGGACCAGCCCCGGCTGCCTGGCACCTGCACTGGCACTGCCCCATCGTGTGAGTAAGACCTGGGTCAGCAGGGCGTCATGCAGCTCCACATGCCATCAGGCAGCTGGGGCCACTGTGGCCATCACCTGGGGCCCATCATCGCTCAGTCCAAGCGGCCCCAACTGCCCGACAGCACATGGAGCCACACAGTGCCCTGCTGACCTGGGTCACATATGCGCGATGGGGCAGGGGCTGTGCGGGTACCTGGCGGCTGGGGCCGGTCCCTGCTGCCCGCCGCTGGGTGGGGAGCTTTGCTATGAGGCCCTAGTGACTCCCCATGGCAGCTGCTACTGCCAGTGAGTGTGGGGCTTGCTTTTTTTTTTTTTTTTTTTTAAATTGCCAGGATGCTGGGGCCAGGCAGGGCAGCCATCAGGGGGCCAAGCAGGGGATGAGGCTGGGCGAGGCAGCCATTGGGGGGACTTGTGGGGCAGGCAGGGGATGGGTACAGCAGTGATCTGGGGCAGGGGGGTCAGGGGCAGGCTGGGGCTGGGCAGGGGATGGGGCCACTAGGGATCTCCCCATGTCCCGTCCCATTCCCCCCCCCCCCAACCTACCAGCACATAGCCCGGGTCCAACTCCCTACAGCTGGCATGCTGCCTGTCCTGCATGGGCAGGCAGTGCGCTTCAGCACTGGGGCGAGGACCAACCATAGAGATAGTCTGGCTGGCTACCAGAGAGTCTCTCTGGAGGACCCGACCCTCCGGCTGCTTCCTGCTGTTTTCCCCTGGGTTATTTTTTGACCCCTGGATATCCAGGGATCTAATTTTGCCCCCACACTGCAAATCTGCAGCAGGGGGAACATTTTTTTGTTCCCACATGTGCCTCTTGCAGTGTCTCAAAGGGCTGCAAGATGCATGTATGCGCTCATCTGGACGTGCCCACACTGGATGCTCAGTCTATCATTAAGATGAGAGGCGCAATGTTTAAGCTTTTCATTCAGATGCATGCCCAGGGTTGCAGGGGTCCCTGGGCTGAAAGTAAACTAATGCTCCTGTTGTCCTCTGGCATCAGCTGCATGGCAGAATTGCATGTTCTGCACCTTCCCGTTGCAATCACTCTGCCTATCTCCAGTGAAGAGCTCTGGCATGGCTGATAGGTTGCTCAAGGGTTTGTGATCACTTGGGCCAAGAAAAGTTTTCCCCAGCTCAAATGATGGAAAGTTCTCCACTTGGCCCCATGCTGCTTTCCTTTAAGAAGTAGTAGACACCACTTGCCATTAGCCACCACCTTCTGGATCAGACTGTAGTTGCACTTTCACAGAGCAGGGTGAAGTGTTCTGCCACCTTTAGTGCAAGAGGTGGCAGCTGATGGCAGGAGATCAAACATTGTGATTCAAGTGCTATAATCCTCTGCTTTTCTGAATATAGTATTTCTCTAAATCCTTATCTAGACAAAGCATTGCTTCATCTGCCTTTTTAAGGGTTTCTTTCCCCCCCGCTCTGGAAGCACAGTCACTCTGCCACCCCAGCTGAGAAAGATCTAAACACATGAATAAGACTCTCAGGAAATTAGTCATGGCTCAACCTTTCCCACACACACTTCTGTCCTACATACCACATCTCTCCTGCCAGCAGTAAGATACCCTAGATCTCCCTAACCCACTGTCTCCTAAGAGACAGCATGCAGTAAATGCTGATGAACTAGTCCACAGAACTCCTTTATGAAGAGAATTCTACTCGCTTCATTTTTCAACTTTTACCTGAGAGGTACTCACAAACAGCCCACATTCCCACAAGCTTTCCACGGAAGAAAACTATCACTAAAACAAAATGGCAACAAAAAAAGTACACCGCCACTGTAAATATGTCTGAATGAATCTTGAGCATAAAAGAACTCTAGGCAAAATATGAGATAGAGCCAGGAGATTCTAATGACTGAGTCTCATGTAATTTCGTAGCATCATAGTGCTTAGGGTCAGAAGGGACCTAAACAGATCATCAGGTCTGATCCCCTGCCTGGGGCAGGAATGGGTGCCAGGGTCGTATCACCCCAGCCAAATATCTGTCCAGCCTCCTCTTGAAGACCCCCAAAGCAGGAGAGAGTACCACTTCACTTGGGAGGCCATTTCAGAGCCTGGCAGCCCTAACTGTAAAGTAATGTCTCCTGATGTCCAGCCTGAACCTGCTCTCTAACAATTTCTGGCCATTATTCCTAGTAACCCTGGGTGATGCCCAGGGGAACAGAGCCTCCCCCAATTCCCGCTGGTCCCCCCTGGTGAGTTTGTAAATAGCCACCAGATCCCCTCTCAGCCTTCTCTTGTGGAGGCTGAATAGGTTCAGGCCCCTTAGCCTCTCTTCGTAGGGCCTGCCGCGCTGCCTCTTGACCATGCAAGTGGCCCTCCTCTGGACCCTCTCAATGCTAGCCACATCCCTCTTGAAGTGCGGTGCCCATAACTGGACGCAGTACTCCAACTGTGGCCTGAGGGTAAGGATCGCTTCCCTGGACCTGCTTGTGATACATCTGTAGATGCATTTTGCTGATCTATTTTGCTGATCTATTTCCCCTTGTTTTGTCACATCTTATCAGATATTGAAAAGCAACATGGCTACACCATGGTACAGATGCAAGGAAATTAAGTATGGGAACTACCACAGACGTTTAACATTAAACAGACTCAGACTCTTTTTAGCAATTACTTTTTCATTATGGAAGAAAGCAGCACCACTGCTACAGGTGCATCAAGTGAATGCAGATGCCTGCCCTTGCTGCAGTGCGCTACCTGTAGCTAACACAGATAGCCCCCTCAACAAGGGCTTCTGTAGCTTCCTTGCTTTCCTTGATTCATTACTCTGAAGCTAATTTTGAATTCAGCTATTATAAGCAACACCAAAAAGATGTGCTGGTGGGAAACTGATGTTGCTGAACTGGAAAAATACAAAAATGGGACCCCAGTAATTTAAGCAAAGGAAAAACAAGGAGAAAAAATAATGATGAAGCACAAAAGGACAGAGAGGGAAGCTGTTGATGAGATGAGATTCACTTCCCAGTTCTGAACAGGCAGTGTGGGGAAAGCTGGGATAGCTCTTCAGTTAACAGCCACAAAGAGACACAATATGAATCTACAGGGGCCAGTCTAGCTACCTCATTACATTACACCAGTGCACATGTACTGATTAAAAAAATATTTAAAATAGACTTTCTGAAATTTTTGAAATTGCTATAGTAACTTTGGCTGAAATGACAGGCTCAATAATTAACTTATCATAGGCTAGTACTGTCAATGGTTTTCCTTCCCAGGTGGTTTCTGGGTTGCCTAAACTCCTGGCAAAAAAGCAAGTGTCCCAGTAAATTTTTTTAATTGAACCCATCCCCTTCCCAAATTATAGCTCCTACACTCTGACCATCAGCTGTCATATCCACACACCTCCTGGTTGTCTCCACAGCACAGACCTGATGAGGACAATACATAAAGATCATTAGCTGAAGTTAAAATTGGTTACAAGCTGCCAGAAAACAGGACTTTTCACAAAATTTATTTGTTAAGAAACACTCTCTTCCCTCAGTATTGGTTGTGTCCTTATACAGCTTTGGGGGGGGGGGCGCATTTTTGTACTACCCTCTTTAGCTTAAATTAAACAAAACTAAGATCAACATAGCAAAGAGAAGCAAAGGAAACAGGGAGTGTTTGTGCCCAGCCAAATCAAAAACATTACGACTGAGAAAGTTTGAGGAATTGATCAAAATAAGCTAAACACTTTATTCTAACCAATCAAGTTATAGTGAATTACAGCAGAATGAGTGAGTATTCCACACTGGGTCTGTTGCCTCTATGAGAAACTTATTGAAGGTGCCTACAAAAACCACATTTTATACAAATCAGGTACAGCTCTCAAGCTCCCATAAGCTCCCAAGCCAACAGTGAGTTGGGTAAAGCTGGAACGTCCTCGGTTGAGATGATTAAGGAATGAACCAAAATATAAGCCAGCATTAAAATGAAACATAATATTGGGCTAATGTACAGAGCTTCAGTTCTTGGCTCACCAGAGTGAGACTCAAAGAAGTCCCTTTAAAAAGCCATATAGTGGTTTTGTAGTTTGTTAGGTAATACACAAGTCAAAACTTCTGTAACTATATTGCCCTTCCACCCAGGGCAGTGCCACCTAGCCACTAATTACTCTACTCACCCCCGTTAACTTTGGCTGTGCAGAAGCACAGGGGACAGACAGCAGCTTAGGGACCCAGGCATACATTTATAATTTGGTTAAATAAGTATGGCATTTGCAGTTACAGAAACTGTTATTTGTACTGGAACTGCTCATGGCTTTAGCGAACTTTACAGCTCCTGGTTGTCACTGAGTTCTCACTTGTTTTTAAAGTCTTGCTCCCAATTGCAGAATAGAATTGTAACATGTATGAACTCAGAGGATAAACAGTTGCATAGCTAGTGTCAGAAGGAACAGCAGAAATGGATGGCTCATTCTCTCTCTGGGAGATGCCCCCTCTGCCTACCTAAGCTGTGGCCATTCTTTGTGTAGAAACAGGTGTTGTTGATGAGGTTGACACAGCAGCCAATCACGTCTCCAGTAGTGAACGTAGGACCATAGGGCTGGCCTGTCCCCGAAGAACAGAAGGAGTGCCCATCATCACCATGGTACCCATATGAGTGTTTATCCCAGCCTGCAGAATGAAAGAAGAACAAGTCAGTAAAGAGGGAGGTCTAGAAGGGGCTGTATATAGTGCCTACAGCTGGGTGGGAAACAATTCTCCCAGCCTTAAGCTGGGTGGAAAAATTCCAAGACTGTGAAATAATTTCTAGTGCCCAATTGGGATGAAAAGTCTAATTCTAAAATTTTTAACATTAAATTTAAATATCTTATTTTGTTTTGGTCAATGAAAACATTTAATTTAGATTTTTTTATTTATAAAAAAAATAATCAATTAGTTTAAATTTCAAAACAAGTTGTCAATCAAAAGTGGAATTCTTTGTTGGAAAAGTGAAAACCCTTTTCCAACATTTTTTAAAATGAGGAACTTGTTGAATATGGCACTTTCCTGTGAACACTGTTGGTTTCAAACAGATTGGTATGCTTCACTGAACAATTCTCAACCAGCTCCACTGATGACTCAGTGTAGTACATGGGAACACCAGGGTGGCCAGAGGCATTTCTGCATCCCTAAATGTAAGCTTCTAGTACTTCTAAGTTAAAGAAATCTCATGCTCCTAAGGCAAAAATACCTTCCAGTTTATAGGCAACCCAAAGGGTGGGATAGCTCCAAGGTCTGAAAACATTTTTGCCATCTTAACAGGCGTTCATTCCGATACTTCGTAATAGCGGCGCACCAATAAAGATTTTCTTGGCCAATACCTATCCAATCACCAATATTTAGTAATAATGCAAGGCATTATGTACAACTCACTCACATATATTCTTCTTGCCTGCTCTCTGCCTGCCCTCAGTGAGCAAGGTGGTGACTGCCTTTATTCCTGTGCACATTGCCTTCTCATCCACGGCTCCTACCCGTGGCCCCGAGCAGCCCGTGCTGCCGTCCTGGGCAGGTGGGGCAGACCCTCATGCAGACACCACGTTACCCCACCTGCGCACAACCCAGGGTCTCCGCAGCAGCCCTGGCACTCGGGTTGCTGCTGAGCGCACAGTGTTGCTATGGAAGCAGCAGCAGCAGGAGCCGGTAAGGGTCCCTTTGTTGTTAGTGTCCCCTCCCCCTCCTGCTGCTTGCCAGGACCTGTAGTTTGCTGCAGGCTCAGGCCAGCAGTGAAGCACAGGGACTGGACTACACTCGCCAGGGTGTTCCAACCACACAGCCGTAATTATCAGCTACAACGACCAAAAAATGCCAATAGCTGATAACGTCATTTCTCCTTTTATCGGTGCTGATCCGATAGCCAACCAACATATCCATGCACACCTATATCACAAAGCTCAATTATAACATCAGCATAGCTAATTTTGCTGATTATGATTTAATAGAAAACGAATCTCAGCATCTGGGAGCAGTGGCTAGGATTAGATTGATTGTTGCAATGTGTCCCTCCCTCCCGCGTCCCTGCTTTCACCCATACCTCTGAGGCCCCTCCATACGTAACAGGTAATAATGCAAGGCAATTAACTGGAGACCAGCTACACATGCAGAATAGCTATTACACAATAAAAAGCTCCAACTAGCTATAAAGTTAGATGGCAAAAATGTGTACTAGTTTTACAGTTGGTTGCTATCAGTCTTTGACTGATGTACCAGGCTCCCAGCTGCAGGGTCTTGCTTCTTGCAGGTGCAGGGGTAGTCTGGAATCAGCAGGATGGGATTTAACATGTGATTCCACTATCACACCTCCTGCCATGCACATGTGACATGGCAGGAGGTGCCAATGTGTGAATCACACATTAGATCCCATTGTGCCTTTACCTGCATTTGCAGAGGGGGCAGAGTTAAGAGAACATCAATCGTAGAAAGAGTTGGTGTCAATCCTGTACCTCCAACTATGGTCTATCCCCTTTACTTAGGAGGCTAGTTAACACATGAAAGATTCAAGCAAGCAGTGATTCTCCATACTTATCACCTCCGCATACATATACCTCAATAACAGGTCCTTCTTTCCAAGTGGAGAAGAATATGACTCTGTCTCATTTGCCAGTCAGGCGAGCACTGACAACACTACAGACCTGCCTTGTTTTTAAATTCCTGTTGTCCAGATGCCCAAGCACCCTGCACCCAGTAACCTGAACTCCATCAGATGTAGTAGGCAGCATGCCCCTGTACCCCAAGTCTCCTGCATCCACGGAAAAAGACATTCACTTGAAAAATTAAATTCTTCAGTCTGGGGATACCAAGAGTTGTGGCGGTGGTGATGTAAATGAGGTGCCTCACAGTCCTAACCTTCCCTACCGAACTTCATCCCTCATGATGCCCATCTCTCCCTCCCCCACCCGCTGACGGAAAACTGAGGCACTTCATAGACTTTTTTTAGTCATAGTTTCATAGTTGGTAGGGTCGGAAGGGACCCGAGCAGATCATTGAGTCCGACCCCCTGCCATGGCAGGAAAGAGTACTGGGGTCAAACGACCCTGGCAAGTTGTTCATCTAGCCTCCTCTTAAAGACCCCCAGGATAGGAGCCAGCACCACTTCTCTTGGAAGCTGGTTCCAGATCCTAGTCGCCCTGACCGTGAAGTAGCGCCTCCTGATGTCTAGCCTGAATCTACCCTCTGCCAGTTTGTGGGGGAACTGGGACTCCCCCAATGCCTGCTGGTCCCCTCTGACTAGTTTGTAACAGGCCACTAGATCCCCCCTCAGCCTTCTCTTTTGAAGGCTGAACAGGTTCAGGTCCTGCAACCTTTCCTCATAGGGCCTGCCCTGCTGCCCCCTGATCATGCGAGTGGCCTCCTCTGGACCCTCTCCATGTTGCCCACATCCCTCCTGAAGTGCGGCACCCAGAACTGGACGCAGTACTCCAGCTGCGGCCTGACCAGTGCCGCATAGAGGGGGAGGATCACCTCTTTGGACCTGCTTGAGATGCATCTGTGGATGCATGACAAGGTGCGGTTGGCCTTCCTGACTGCATCTCCAC